CTGATACTCTGATTCACTCCAACTCCTATGGTCTCATCAACGTGGTCAGACAATAATCCTGACACTGATTCCTGACCCTACAGTAAATATCTCTCAAATCCTTGGAATTAGAGGAATGAACTCTGATTCACTGTGTTGTTTCTAGGGGTGGTTTGGACTCCGAGATCTATTTCTTAATCCTGAGCCCTGAGATTAAATGTGTGCACCATCACTGCCGAGTTTCCAGAGCTATCTAGTGAGGCTGGCTTTGCAAAATGATCACCAGTAGCTATATTAGATCAAAAACAATATATCACCACAACAGTTGACAGCGGGATTCTCTGGTGTGAAAAGATTTATTTATTCATTCATTGATTCCATTCATGTGTTTGTTGATTTAGTAACTCCAACCAACACCAAGTAGTAGTATAAACAAGACCCTGTGATGAGAAAACCCAATTTGCTCCCCATTTGACCTGGGTCCATTCACATACGTTAGCACTCTCAGATTAAGTGTTGACTGGAATTTCTTGCCAGCACACATGGGAATTTATTCTCATACTTCGTCATTATTCCTCCTTATCTTCTGGGCCTTTACCCAAAGATCACATGATACTCAGGAAATGTCTGTTGAACCAAGTATTGGTGAGCAGAAATTCCTTGACCTCCAAGGCCTAGTGACCCCTGCATTTTTTGGTGCAACATGAAGTGTCAACACCATCATGAATTCTTTTTTCCAAATATAAACTAGTGTCAAATTAGAAAGGAAATAAGGGTTCCCTTATCTGTGAATTCTTGGGAAACAGCAACAGAAAGACTAAGACTGATATAATTGTTGGATTGTTGTTAGAGTTGATCCAGATGGACATATGTAAGGGTCATAGTGTTATTTTATATGTGACAGGATGCATTTCTCAAGAATAGACAAAGCTTCTATCCCCCACAGAACTTCATCTTATGGCTTCCCTGATGCATCCAAGTTATACAAGATTCCAAGGACAGCATCCATGACCTGTGCAGGATTTCTGAGAGAGTACAATCCTGCCAACACACATTTCAGAGCAATCTCTACATGGGAGTGAGATCAATCAACTGGAGACCATGTTCTGCCAAAGTAAACAAGAAGGGACATAGCCCATTATTGCGTCAAGTTCATATGATCAACAACATTGCTAATTATGTTTGTCATGAGACAGCCAAAAGGGAGAGCAATGATAAATTAGTTATGCAGAGCCTGGGGAGTAAGTGCAGATGGGCCAGAAAGGGTGTTTCCTGACTCTACTCAGAGTTTGTTCCTCTTAGTTAACCACATACAAGGAACAGGAGACCATCTCCTTTGGCACTTAGAACCCTCCCCTAGAAGGACACAAGATCAGTTAGTTATTATAATCTATGTCACACTCCTGGGATTGCTACAATAACAGAAATGACCCAGTTCAAAGACTCACTCACTCACTATGATATAAGGACTATTTCTCTCATAGTGGAATCAGTTTATTTACAGGAAAAGTAGGACCTGCAAGGGTCGATAGAAGATGGGATTCTAGACCACAAAGAAGTTTACAAGTTTTCCCATCACTGTCTCCAATTGATAACCTCTTTCAAATGAAAAGTGAGATTTCTCTAAGGGAGCCTAACTGAGGGAAACTACCACTCAGAGCATGTAAATCAGGTGGTCTCTGCATCCACACCTGTTCCTTGTGCCTTCTCTTGGGATCTTTTCTTCCAGTTTTTATTTGTTTCTTTGTTTTGTCCTGTTGCAATGAGTTACTTTTTTGATATCATTTTGCTTTATTGTATTTTATTCACTAGAAGCCTGTTTGTCTTCAAAAGACAGCATGGTGGTGTATTAGGAAGGGGAGGACTTAGGAGTTGAGGAAGGAGGAGGGAGTATGGGATGCAGAGACTTCTACCAGCAGGAGTTTCCTCTACATTCCACAGTCTGGAGGGAGCAAGAATCAGGTGTGGACCCTGTGCTACAGCAACAGGACAGCATGCTAACTTTCTGGGAAAGGTGGAAACCAATCACATATGTGGGAAAAGGAAGAAAAAACTAAGCAGTGTGGTCCTCTTAATCAGAACCAGGAACTCAGGAACCTAAGTGGGAAAAAATGTTAGTGCTGACCTGAGCCTTAAAAATACAGAAGCAGAAGAATTTGGTGGAGAGTTTGGGCTAGGAAGGCGACCTCACTCCGAGATGTGTTTCCTGTGATCCCTGCAGTCCCCATGCTGTCTTGCTCCAGACTCACACTGTCAGAAGTCAGACACAGAGATGGCTGTGTTGTAATAAGAAATGGAGTGGTATCCACCCTCCTCTTTTATAAGTAAAAGGTAAACCCCCAAAATGCAAATGCACCTTCTAGCTCTAAGTTAAATCCCCTCCTGAGCTGTGGGAGTTCACATCTCTCTCACAGGAGCCTGACCTCTAAGAAAAGGGGGTGTAGCCTAGAAGATGAGACTGTTGGGTCTTTTGTACCTGGTGACAGCCCTTCCTGGTGAGTGTGACAATTTCATACATGTATCCATGAGGGGATGTGACAACATGTGATTGACAGAATTGACTCTTGCTGTCTGCAGGTGTCCTGTCCCAGATCCAGCTTCAGGAGTCAGGACCTGGCCTGGTGAAGCCCTCACAGTC